CATTTTCTTGGTTGTGCGTTGTCTGCTCCGCCGGTGGACGTTAAAGACCCTGCGACGTGACTTCGAAAAAAGAGACGGGCCCCCGTGTTTCTGGTGTCACAGTCCAAAATGTTCAAAGAAAGTGTACCGGCAGATTTACTCAATTGGGAAAACACAGAGCACACACTCATTGCGCGCTATTGCAATTTTTTTTTTATCAGGGCCATCTGGAAAAAAATATTCTTAAGAGACTCGGTGAATATTTACTAGGAAACTAAATATTACAATGATAAATACTAATAATTAGAAAATATGAGATGTGAGAAAGCCTGGTCACATTCCACACACTACCAAGAGGCAATGCTTCTGCAAAATACAAAACGCTGTATAACCAACCAAAAGCCTCTTGGTCTCACATCATCATTACTAGGCACGATCTATCCACTGTTGGATGAAGTCCCTGTCAAGCCCCGTTGCCCATCGATGGTTCCGCGCGACCCATCGACGCATCTAGCTCTTGCGCCAGGAGTCCGTGCCCCCCCGCCCGCATCGCTCCCACCCGAACGGTCCGACCGAGGCGGCGGTCCACATCCCCCCTGGTTGCCGCGGCGCTGCGTGTGTGCCCTCTTGTTTAAAAAAATAAAATGCATCCTAAGTAATTGGCTGCTCCAGGAGGAGCGTGGGGGGGGTGGTGGGTGGTGGGGCTTTCATCTGCACCCTGTGTGTCGGGGATGAAGAAACAATGGTGGCTAAGTGGTTTCGCAACCCCTGCCCCCTCTCCACCCACCCGGGCCTCTGACGCCCCCATCTCATTGTGGGGCCAGGGCCATCGCCAGCGACCGTGCGAACGAAAGACAAAGAAGGGGGCCTCCAGCAGAGCCTTTGTCTCGCGGCGCCGCGTGGCGAGATGACGCCATCGTTTCGCGGTGGCTAGATGTTAACTACCTCGCCTGGTACACAGGAGGCCGTGGGTTCGATCCCGACCCTGACGCCTGCTCTATATTTGGAGTCTGTGTGTCTCTCTCTCTCAGTGGCCACGTGGATTTTCCTTCGGGTCCTCCGGTATGTCCCCTTGACATTTAGAATCGACATCACGCGTTTGGAGTTATTTCGGCTGCTGTACATTTACACCTGATGAAAAAGCCACTCCGTTGAGCTATCATTTTAGTTTAATTTAGACTGCCGGGGAAGACGGAGACCGAGAAGCCGGGCCGACGACGAGACGATGATTCATCGATGGGAATCGTCGATCCCTCTTGAAGCCAAAACGCCAACCAGGCTAGCCAAGCAATTCTGAACGCGCTCATCCGTGTGAATTATCTCAGAATCAGGAGGCAGTCGCCTTGTTCCCTCCGAGGTCGGAGCTGGCACGGGGCCTGGGTTCGACTCCACGCAGCTGCTTTTGCTACTTGCCCGTGAGAGGCGGTGTTAGTGGTGAACGCGCTGCGATGCGAACCCGGCGAGTTCGATTCCCGCTCACGGCTATTATATGAAACGGTTCTGGGCTTGCCCCCAGGTAGACTCAGCCCAAAAATGGGTACCTGGTGCGGTGTGCAAACATCGCCGCGGAGGGAGACAAAAGCGGCCGGGCCCTCTCTCCGTGTGTCGTTCCGGCCTTCATTAGGTGCTCGTCGCGAACAGCACTTGCCCCCAACAGTCTGTCGAGGCTATACGGGGGATCTTTGTCTTTGCGCGTTTCTCACAGCGACCCTCGACAAACGAAGAGTCGGCTCCATTCGACTGCGTTAAGTCTCTGCCTGGACCAGGGATCGGCTGCCCGCCAACTACGGAGCCGCTTGCGACCTTTTTAAGGACTGCGGCTTCGTGGCGTTATGCGCGTGGCATTGCGGCTCTTGAAATATCGAGGGGGAGTTTTTTTTTCCTCCCGAAATGGGGGGGGGGGGGGGGGGGTGGGAATGGCTCTCATTGTCACTTTGGTTGCAGACCCGTGGCCCTCGACCAAGAGAATTACTAAATACCAACTCCGCAAGTTGTTACCCACTTGACTAAGCCTATGCCCACATAGCACCGCGGATCTCCCGTGTCAAATAGCCGGGCAAACTGGCGACACGGGACCGTCGTCCGTTGCGAAATAGAACATCAGCTCAAACGTGGTATTGGGGGGGTCACCTCTTCTCAGAATATGAATTAAAAAAATATTTTTTTTATTGCTGGAAGGAATCCGATGAGCCATGAAGCTCTTTATGTTTTAACAGAATGTCCAGTTATTCACAGACGATGTCCAGTACTTAACGGTGGAAATCTCGAGCACCGGCACCTCACCTCTGCCCATTCCACGGCAGTTGAAACAAGGGAGCAAAAGTTGTGCACGTATGCACGGTATGCTGAACTTCTTTCACACCGTATGTAGCCAACCGCGCTGTCGCGGTGTAAATGGGTTCGCCGGGGTTTGATCGTGGGCAGTTTGGTGCGAGTTTAAAAGTGAATCGTGGAGTATTTCCACCTCCTGCACAGGAGGCCAAAATGCCCTCTTTCGAGGAGTCGGGCGTTCTCTTCGACTTGGAGAGTACGGGGAGCCCCTGCAGGTGCCGTGTAGTCGTGGCGTGAGCAGGACATTGCAGGGGCCTGAGCCTTCACCCGCTGTTGTTGCCGTTATCTCGTTGAGCAGCAACAGCAGAGCGGCTGCTTGGTCTGAACGAGAGAGCGAGTGGAGACGAGAGACGAGGCTAACCACCCAGACCGAGAGATCTCTCTCCAGGGCGTTCTGAGCTACGGACGTCGGCTCGGAGCTCGTCAACTTCTCAAAATCAAGAGCTGGCGGCGTTGTTTTTTGCGGGTTAACTATTTCCAATACCACCACTCCCGTTTATTATTTTTTTGCCTGCCTGCCTGGGCTGGGCTGGCGCATGTCGGAGCGTCGACGTCGGCAAACTGCGAGCGGGCCACCCACCAAGGAATGTTGACTTTGTGTGACTTAACAAGTTCTTTTTTTACACACCCCGACCGACCGACCGCCCTTCCTCCTCACCCTCCCGTACTTATCCATCTCCCCAGACCCTTCCCCCCACCCCACCCCGAGTCTTGCTATAACAGCTGAAACGAGAGGCTCGTTGGAGTCGAGGTAAGATGAATTGGTGAAGGTTGCATTCCCGTTAGCTTGAGTCTCTCTCGGCGACTGCAAAATCAAAAAACGGATGCAGCACTTGGACTTCACGCGGGCACTGCTGGCGGAAAGGGCCTCCTGAGAGAGCCACCCTGAGAAGGTGTTTGGCCTACTCTTCCACGCAGGTCAGTTGTCCTGGGAGAGGTTGGAGCATTCACGCAGAGTTACCCCCCACCACAACATGGAAATTGAAAGGCAAGCCACAGTAGTAGTGCGATTGTGGGCCTGAAAACCCAAACTACGGAACGGAGAGGATAAACCCGCTGTCGTCTGCGCTCCTCCAACGGACGAGCGATAGCGAAACGACACGAACTCTCTCTCTCTCTCGGTCTGAAGCCCTCTCGTCGTGGCCAGCTGACATTGGCATCGAAGCTCCTGAACAACACACATTGCTGCCATACTCTTAAGAGTTTAATAGAAACCTCCCCGCCGCACACGAGCTCTGGATTGCCAAGTTGACTATTCCTGCCATTACACGTTTACGATGCAGCAGCAGCAGCAGAAAGTCACCACACGTGTGTGTGTGTGCGCGCGGTAGTGTAGCGGTTTGCGCGCTGCGCTATGAACTCGGCGACTCGGGTTCGATTCCCGCTCACGACCAACACCAGTGACGATTACCTGAACCGGTCCTGGGCCTCCCCTAGGTCGACTCGGCCTCAAATGAGTGCTGTACCTGGTGTGTTGTGTAAACATCGCCACTGGGGAGACAAAGGTGGCTGGGCATGGTACTGGCCACCCACCCCATCGTGTGCCATGCCGGCCTTCATAGGTGCTCGCTAACAGCACTTGCCCCAAAAGTCTGTTCAGGCTATACGGGAGATCTTTATCTTTGTATATATAGCAGTGAAAACAAATTAAATTAAATGGAGTTGGGCCAGGAACACCGAGCTCAGACATAGGAACAGCCGAAACAACTGAACGGAGGAGGGAGGCGGAGGCCGACGGAGAGAGAGGAAAGTAGTGGGACCGGAGCACGAGTCGGTGGGACAAAGATTTAGGAGATGTGGTGGGGGTGCAGTGAATGACGAGCGGACATCTGAGAAACCGCGGGACGCGGACGCCAGCGAGGCAGGCAACTCGCCGAATCCCGCGCGCGAGGAAAAAAAAAACCGGCGGGGCGTTCGAGAGAAAGAAAAAAAAATCATTTAATGTTTATTCAAAAAAATTGCATATGCTCACCAGTTTACAAAGACATGTACATTATTTATTATTCTTGGTGTTGTTTACCTATTAATAATAACAATTAATATTATTTCGAACAACAATGGCTTACAGAGTGAGTGCAGGTATGTGATATATATAAAAACAAACAATACTGATGAAATGCTCTTATATAATAATTCCTCCTTTTTTGGTGAAACTGATGGCACGCGCTCCTCCCTCTCCGGCCACCGTCCCGACGTACTTTCTTGTCGAAACGAACTCCCCACCCCCCCTCCTCCGTTACGACAAGAAGCGCGTTGAAGGCCGGTCAAACCTGGGGGGGGAGGGGGGGGACGTCAAGTCGCAGAGGTGCTGCCGCTCGCGACGGGAAAGAAGGCGTTAACTCTCGGAGGGGACGGCGCCGCACCCCTACGGCTCCTCTCGAGCTGGTGGTCTGGACAAGGCTGCCCGAGAGCACCGAACACTCGCGCTGCAATGCGGCGGGGGTCACGCGCACGCGACGTGCTGTCGCCGTACGGTCGTTTCACAAACTGCGGCGGCCGCTCCCTCGAAGCCCCCCCCCCCCCCCCCCCTCTTTGAAGCCCTTTGGATTCGACAACTTTGCGCGCGACGCGAAGAGCCGCGAGTGTACGCGCGGAGGCACCTCGGCACCGCACGCACGCACACACGCACGCACACACGCACGCACACACGCACACACGCACACACGCACGCACACACGCACGCACACACGCACGCACGCACGCACGCACGCACACACGCACGCACACACGCACGCACACACGCACGCACGCACACACGCACGCGCTGCTGGTATTATTATAAATACGTTACACGACGAAATAGCGGCACCGCGTGACAAACAAAAAAAAGTTTAACATGTCGTAATACGCGAGTTAAGAAATGCGAAGGAAGAAATAAAAAATAAAAATACATATATAGGTGCACTTAAAACATTAAAGCTCTGTTACATTTACCGTTTGTACTTTTTTTTAATAATCAGCTTTAGCGTTACTTACACGTTTTTCTTTTTACATTTGCCCTTGTTGTTTAGATGTAGAACGTGGAATCGTGTTTTGGTTCGAGGGCCAGGGTAACCTCTGAGGATCAACTCTTCCGCACGGAGCAAACCGAGAGCCTTGTGCCCTTGCCGCGCTTTCGCGTGCAAAGTCGGCCAAATCACAGGAGGATCGGTCTCAAAATGACGACGCGATGATAGACAGATAGGATAATTAAAAAAAATCTACGCACGCCGACTATAGGTGCAACTTGAAAGGCGGCCCGGCGAAACGCCATCGTCCCATCCGTTGCATGAACTTCGCCGTCAAAGCATGCTCCACCAGGATCGCAGCCTTGTTCCTCCTCCTCCTCCCACTTAAATAACCGTTCTCGCCCCTTGATATGCGCGAAAGGAAGCGTCGTCCGGACGAGGCGGGCGCGATCGAAGCTCAAATCCTCGGAAGCACGTCCCCCTTAGCACCATGACATCTGAAAATGTGTGGACTTTACAAACGTAACAGACGGTTCGGTGCCGTTCCCACGGCAAACGAAGTGGCGTTTCTTCTCATCATTTCCAATCCCGCCCTCTCCGTGTCTCCCCATCTTTCGCACGCGCGAGCGCCGCTGTCCGATTTCGCGAAACGATCATCGCCGTTGTCCGTCGGCTCGCTCCGTCGCGTTCCGGAGGTGCTCACCAATCCGGCGGCTACGAGATGATGCAGTTCTTATTCCTGCGCCGGCGCTGCTGCTTCCTCGACAGCGCTGGCATTGTGATGGAGTGTGGCGGCTGCCCGCCGTACCCCATCGTCCCCGCCATCGTCCCCGCCATCGTCCCCGCCATCGTCCCCGCCAGCGTCCCCGCCAGCGTCCCCGCCATCGCTGCCGCACCGCCGCCGCCCTCGCGGTACTGACACCGCACCGGCAGCACGGTGCGCGGGATCGGCTGCCCCAGGAAGAACCCGTCGTCGTCCGAGTCCGACGAGGAGGACGAGCAGGTGGAGCACCAGTCGTCCGAGCTGTCGTCCCCCTCGTCGTCCAGGTCGAGCGTCAAGTCGGCCGGGTAGCGGTTGGGGAAGCGCTCCACCGTGATGTGGTTCTGCGGCGCGTAGATGGAGCGCGGCGCCTGCGGGTAGCCGCCCCGCGCCCCGCCGTCCCGCCCGGACTTGCGCTGCATCAGCTGCTCGTAGTCCTCGTGCGTGTGCACCTCCGGCTCGTCCTTGAAGCGGCACCGGCGCCGTTCCACCGCCGCCAGCTTGTGCAGCGCGTTCTCCGAGCGCGAGCGCCGCGACTTGCGCGAGCGGTGGTGCCCGTGGTGGTGGTGCCCGTGGTGGTGGTGCTGCCCGCTGTGGTGCCGCTGCCGGCCGTGGTGGTGCTGCCCGCCGCCGCCGGAGCCGCGCGAGCGTCCGTCGTCAAAGTCCATCGGTTTCCGGCGGGGCCGCTCGCTCAGGGGCGCTCGCGGGAACGGCATCGCCGTCGGCGCCGCCGCCGCCGCCGCCGCCGCCGCCGCCGACGGCGCCGACGACGACGACGACGCCCCCCGCTCCGGTTCGAACTGGGCGAGGAAGCGCGGCTGCGACTGGGAGCGGCGCGCGCGGTCGGGCGGTCGGGGCACGGCGCCGCCGGCGCGGCCGCCGGCATCGCCATGGAGGGGAGCCAGCTCGGAGGGGCGGCCCCGCTCGCGCTCGGGGCGCTGGCTCGAGCAGAGGCCGGCGAGCGACTCGGCGCTGCGGCAGCGAGAGCTGGAGTCGAGGGTGCCCGCGGTGCTGAGCTTCTCCGCCGAGCCGAGGCCGCGCTCGCTGCCGACGAACGGCAGCGAGAACTTGGACAGCTGGTCGGGCGACTTGCCGTCAATGTCCACCGAGAGGCCTGGTGATGTTTGGAAAAATAAAAAGGGAAAGGGTTTAATTTTTTCGTGAAATTATTGACACGTGTGAATAAAAGGAGAACTGGAAAGGTGACAGTTTTCTTGCATCGGCTGCGTACACTGCTGTGATTTTTCTGGAAAATATTAATTGGAAATCGTCAGCCCCTTCTCTTCAGACAGGGGCGTATGTTTGGGCACACGTCACCGCTGCCTGTCAGTGCGGGTTGGTGAAAGGGAGCCCCAGGACCGGTTCAGGTATCACCTCGCCGCCGGTGTTAACCGTGGCCGGGAATCAACTTCAGGTCGCCAATTAGTACAAGCAGCACGCGTTATTAACTTCACCAGCGGACGACAACAACAAAGTGATTTAAACAACACGTAAATACTAAAGGCATCTCAAAGATGTCAGGCAGGACTACACATGCGGTAAAGCATAAACCATAACACAAGTTGGGGAGATTGGGCCACGTTGTGACACACCGTGTACGATGTTGCTACGTACTTCAATCACCAAACACATCAGCTGTCCTGACTGAGAGATTCTGCTTATGAGCGTGTGTGTCTTTATATAGTGTCATCCGTGCAAATCGCAGACAAAGTGGGAAAGGCAGCCAGAACCTGAGTGAAGTAATTTGCCCAAGCTCTGTGGTCCTATATCGGAATGTTTGGCCAACTCCATGTCATGAGCAGCCACGACAAACAAAACGAAAATTTTTGTTCCATTGCTCATTAGTTGGACGATTCGGGATCCAGCGACGAGACGGGCGAAATGTTTACATTGGCAGCCTGGCTTCAATTTTAATGTACCCACTGTCAAAATATATTTCAAAGTTAAGCTTTTAAAATCTTTTTTAAGGAGCCTAAAAGCTTACGTTGACCGTTTCAAGCCGGAATGACCGTACACGCGGCAGCGCCCGTCTAGCCGATCCCCCCCCCCACCCCCACGCCGTTCAACTTTAAGGTTGCACAAACAAAAAAAACGATCCGTCAGCGTCTCCCGTTCGAGACGCGTCGCTCCCGCCGAATGAGACGAATCGGCACGGTGCGACGCGGTCCGCGTGCTCGTCACTCGCCTGATCGCGGGGACGCGGCGGCGGCGGCGGCGTCTCTTGAAGCGCGAGAAAAATCGGCGAGAGCCAAAAAAACTAAACTAAACGACAGCGTTCTGCCGTGGTCAACAAGGAAAGATCTGCTGCTGCCGACAACCCGTTTGCAATCGACCGATCAGCCGACGGATCAGTCGATCGATCGATCGATTATTCCGGGGCGTATTTCAGAGGCTACACGGCGTGGGAGCGGTCGGTGCGCCGCGTAGTCGCGGTTCTCGGCCGCGGATAACGTCGGCGGTGAGAGACGTCTGAACCGGTCCCGGGGCACCTCCCCCTACCTTCAACCAAGCCGCGCTGACCAACGCGGTGAAGTATGACCAAACAACCTCCATTAATCAATCGATTAATGGATGTAAATCCACTGTTGGATGAAGGCCCCTCCCCCCCCCCCCTCCCTGCCCCACCCCGCCTCGCCGTGCTGGTCATGGGGGCGACGTAAATCTGAATTGCGATGCAGCGTGTGACATGGATATTCATCTTTTCGCTGTCCCGAGCCGCTCTTGTGAAGCGTTCTTCTGTATCAAAACCACTCCCGATCCTTGGCACGCGGCGATGCATCGTGCAAACGCACAAACGCACGCCCACCAAAAATCGACCCGCCCACCCAGACCCACCTTCCTGCGCACCCCTCCCGAACCACGAGAGCAGCCATCGCCAATTTAAAAAGGGGAGCAAACGAACACGCCCCAGATATTCCTCTCCGCCCCTAGCCCAACCGCGTCGGGTTATTGCCAGTGACGACTAAGGCACGCGTTCGCTCGTCAAACGCGTCACGCGTTTTCTCTCGGCGGCTCTGTTGACCGTCGCGCGTTGCCCAGTGCTCATCTGACATCCGTGCTGACTTTGTACTTAACCCATCTCTACCCGAGTGTGACGATGCCCGTGTGACATGTGGCCCTCTCTCACATGACGGGCGTTACTTATAGCCGATAGGAAGAGGTTGTCCAGCGGAGGAAGGGGGAAGAGAAAGAAACAAAAATAAAAATAAACCCCTCGTGAACGTCGCTCACCGGTGATGTTGGAGAGAGGCAGCGACTCGACGGAGTCATGCGGCGACGCCCGCCCCGATTCCATGTCCATCAGCCCCCACACGGCCGCACCGAGCCGCGAATGCTGCTGCAGCTCCCTGGCGCTGAAGGCCGCCGCCGCCGCCGCCCCCTCGCGATGTCCCTCCTGGATCCACGGCCCCGGCGCGGGAGGCGGCAGGAAACTCATCTCGCCCGCCGCCTTGTAGGTGGCCTGCCGGACGCCGCCGCCGCCGCCGCCCTGGGGGCCATCGTCCGTCCGCTGCCAGCTCTTCGACAGGCCGTACAAAGGGTTGTAGTCAACCAGCGGGTTGCCGTAGTCGCCCACGGCTTTCGGGTCCTGGAGCAACCGCTCTTTGGTGCCGCTCGCCTGGCTGCCGAGCGATTCAGCGGGGCTGCCGGCGCGCCGGTGGTATCCGGCTCCGTCGCCTCCCATCGCCGCCTCGGGGGAGCTTCTCCCGCCGCTCGACGCCACCGAGCGCTGCGTCAGGAAAGCCTGAGGCTTCTTCGGAGTCTGGTCCAGGCCGTACGCCGCCGCCGCCGCCGCCGCCGCGGCAGCCGCGCTAGCGGTGCCCTGCGACGACTCGGCAAAGCCGCGGAATCCCGGCGCGCTCCCCAGCTTGTCGAGCACGCTCTGCGCCGATGCCGCCTCCAGGCTGTAGCCGGACGACGTGGGCGCGAGCGGCGGCTGAACGGCGAGGGCCGGCGCCGCCATCGTCATCGCGGGCGGCGTCGTCGCCCCCGACGTTTCGATGGCGAGCGGCTTTTGAGCGCCGCCGGCGGCGGCGGCGGCGGCGGCGGCCGCGGTGGTCGTGCGGAAGCTGCGGCGAGAGTCCCGCGAGCGCGCGCTCTGGAAGGCCGAGTCGGCCGAGTCGGACGCGTTGCCGTCGTCGCCCAGGCTGCAGGCCTTGGAGCAGAAGACCTGGCCGCGCTGCGGCAGGAAGGGGAAGCCCAGCAGGGAGCTCTTGCAGCGTGCGCAGCTGAAGCAGCGGTCGCTCGCGTGCCAGAACTGCCCGCCGTACGTCACACGCTCCTCCTCCAGGCCTGGCGCGCGTCACAGGCGGGGAAGGACGGCGGTTGAAAGACGAGGAGGGGGAAGAGGGGGAAAAGTCGTCGCGTGCGCGGCGCATTTTCGGTCGCTCTCGGCGAGTCGTCGCGTTTGCAGGTGGGGGGGGGGGGGGGGGGGGCCGTGCTCGTGCCGAGCGAGCGCGGGAAACGGCGCAGTCCGGAGGCAGCGCGCGGAGAGAGCAAGGGGCCCGGGTAGCGTCTCTGCTGGGTAGGGTGCCGGCAATGCTTTAATGATGAGTCGCAGGTGTAAAGTTTCAATCGCATCGCATCGTCTTGGCAAGGGTTATCGTGCTCGCTGCCACCTGCCCCCCCCCAATTATAGATAGCCAGACAGGACAGAGCCAATGCATTGACACTGCATTTCCAATGTGAAAGTCAACACGTCCGTAATGCACCTTCTATCCCTCACCCCCCCCCCCCAGTAGACATTTCAAACTTCAAAAGCACTCGAGTAGCGAGTGGATAGGACAGTGGAATAACCTCTCCCGTGACTCTCAGTTACTGCAGTGGGGATCGCGGCAGCCCCGTCGCTACAAATATCTTTACATTAAACAGTGATTTTATGTATTTAGTCAGCTGATGTCCATGGCCACAATCGACCGCGGCCATGCAACACAAACTATGGACCGTATGAGCAAGCCTCACTGTGGGTCTGCGCTCCTTAAACGGAGGAGCAAGGGGGAGGAACACCAAAAGGACGCAAACTCCCTCTCTCTGCTGGAGCCCTCTCGTCGTGGCCAGCGGCACCATCAGGACCTCGACATTGGCATCGACCTCCCGAACAGATCTCCACCATCGAGGGCGAGCACGGCACCGTCAACGTCCACAAAAAACCGAAGCGAGCGCAGTCAAGCAGGGGGGGGGGGGGGGGGGGGGGGGGGGGGGGGTGCGGCAACACGCGGCGGCGGGGCCTAGCGGCACGGCTGGCGAGCCGACGCCCTTGTGGGCGAACGTGCCCACGGCGATGCCGCCCGCCCGGGTAAGCGCGGCTCCTCCGCCGCCGCCGCCGCCGCCGGCGGCTGCGGCTGCGGCTGCGGCTGCGGCCTCCTCACCGATGTGCCGGTGGCAGCTCTCGCACGCCACCGTGTGCCGCGCCTGGAAGCACGAGCAGCAGAAGGGGCGCCCGTCCTTCATGATGTAGCGCTGCCCGCCCAGCACCACGTGGCACTCGACGCAGCTGAAGTGCGAGATGTGCCAGTGGCGGCCCTCCGCCTCCGTGCACTCGTCCGCAAAAATGATCTGGGGTTCGGAGGGGTGGGGGGCAGACAGGGGTTCGGGGTTAACGGTCGAGACGCTACCGGAGCAAGACTAAGGCGCCCCCCCCCCCCCCCCCCGAAGGTCTGTACGGCTCAGTGTTACTTGCAGAGGGTGTCAAATCCTGACCGAGTAGTTACCGTTGTTATTGCTCGCGGCTCAGGGGGCCAGACTTAAAGGCATCTTTAGCATTGACGCAATGGGACAGAGTGCCCCATGGGAGAGAGAGCGAGAGAGCGTGACGGGGGGGGGGGGGGGAGCGGGAGGTATTCTGGCTGGCGAACGAAAGGGAAAACGGCCAACATCGTTGGCAACCATCGCCAGCGAGAACCTCCCAGAAGAATGTCTTCCAGTGCGTGAGCCTCCTTCGTCCGTGGCATTCGACAACGAACATTCACTTCGACATTTTATTGGCAATTTCGGAAGTAGTCCTTGGTGATGTTGTTATTATCAGCGTTCTATTTCGCTTCGATTGCGGCGACACCCTTAAGTGCAGAGTTGTATTTTTACGTACAGCACTTTGAGATACTTCAATGTGAGGGAGGCTTTTGAAAAGGAGGTTATGATTAATAATAGTTCCTCAAGGCAGCACCCGCTTCACGAGTGGAGTGCATATAAAAGAAACAGAGAATACGGTTTTGTATTTAAAAAATTAATGTAATCATTCAGCGCACAATATATTCCGCGTAGTTCACATTCACGGGGTGCGAGACGGATTTCAGCATCGCAAGACAAAGGACTACGACTACCTTTTTTTTTATTCCACCCAGGTAAGGCCCACTGAGCTACGTAGCTCCTTTTCAGACGCGACCTGGCCACAAATGATAGCTCAACGAAGCGGCTTACCATCGTGTGGAAATTCACAGCAGCCAAACACCCTAAACGCGCGTTGATTCTAAACGCGGAGGGGAAAACCGGAGGGGCCCAGAGAAAAATCCACGCGCGATGTCCGACGTTTCGATCCCAGGCACACACGCCGCCGCTGCCGGGCACGTCGCCCCGGCCAACGACGCGGCGGAGAGCTGCGCGGCGCTTCGGCGAAAGCCTCCACACAGTGACAGACGCTTTGGTGGCCGTGGAGCTGCCCCGCTACCGCAGCCATAGGAAGAAAGTAAAAAACGTTCCTCGAGCCTACCAACTTCCGCGCCTTTCGCAGCGCACAACCGCTAAAAGGCCTAAACGCAAATGAATCAATGTCAGCAGCGCGCGTTGCACGTCGCAGGCGTCTCGCGCGAAACGACAAATAGGCGCTGCCTTTTACAAACAGAGTGCGCCAGTTTCGTTCACACATCTGCGAACTCGACGAGAGCACGCTTGGAAACGCGCGACTCGGAAGGAACGTGTCGAAAAAAGTGTTTTGCCCGATTAATGCCGCTACCGTGTGTATGTAAAAAAAATAAAAATATAAAGTACATTTTCACGACAATAACTTGCGTGAGTTTTCCTAAAAACGGTCCAGGTGGATGGGTTCGTGTGACTCTTGGCACAGAACACCGGCACGGTTTGCGTTTGTGATTTGCAAGTGTAAAAAAAAAAAAAAAGGAAATTAAAGGAACAAAAACGCAAAGTTGCGGTACAGCACTTCAACATCGCAGACGTCTTGAAGCAAATGAATTAAAGCACAAAAAAGTCAACCGTGCCCAGCGCGCTCTTTCCCCCCCCCTCCCCGCTCGGCAAAGAATTTTAGTGAAATTGACTTGTCAGCTTTTAGCGAACGTGGCAACAGATGCAATGTGTCACTGGGCCCTGAAAACTCGCCAACCCAACCCCCCCCCCCCACTTACGGGAGGGTTGGTTGGTGGGGGTGACGAAAAATGATATATTTTCGTTTACGGACAAGGGGACAAGGGGGCGGGGAACAAAAAATTACGGAAGAAATATAAAAGGGAAAAGTAATACTCACTCCATAACAGCCCTGGCTTTCGTGTGGTCAACAAATTTACTTTGGGGGGAGCGGCGCTAAAGGTGAGAATCTTACGGACGTGCGGCTTTCATTCGATTAAGTTCTCGCAGGTCTCAAGCGGGTGGGCGGTGGGAGGCCGTGGCGGGAGGTGGGTGGGGGCAGCGGCTACCACCACCACCGCCGCCACCGCCACAGCTGTAAATCTAGACGGTAACTCAATCAGGTGAGGCAGCCATCGGGGGTAGGAGTGGAAATCACGGTCAGTGGTGGTACTGGCCCAATGGGCCCCCCCCCCCCCACCTCCCATCACCCTTCAAATAATACAATCCTAATGAGATGGACAGGAGGGGTATAATAGGCACAAGGGCAGAAAGAAAGGGAAAAAAACGGGAGACAAACTTGATAGGATTCAGTGGGATGAGAAATGCTGATGGGGTGGACATCAGATAGATTCATTGTTGTATTAAACGTCTTGTGTTGCGGATATCAGGATTTGAATATTGAGCTGATAATTAAATATATATTTTACCCGGATAATTTATTGAGACAGAACATTTCTTATGCAAGGGTGTCCAGTGAATTATACATATTTGATGCGCCGCCAATTTGTCCACGAATCCGGGCCCCCGCTTGAGCTGCTTGGCGCTCTGAGCTTTTGCCCGGCTTGCTTTACGCCCAGGGACGCCACTGGGAGTGAGGATTACATTCGAGGCTTGGCTCGTGCCGCCTGAAAGGGCTCGCTTGTCTGCTCAGGGACCTAAGTGGTGCTGACAGGTAGCCGTGGGGGCGGTGTGGGCGGTTTGGGGTCGGTGGGGGGCGGTGGGGGCCGGTGGGGAGGGAGGGAATTATGATGATGATGGTGGTGGGGGGGGGAGGGATGCAAATGAGGCGAGACAGAGGCCTTTAAAAATTAACGGTGGTGGTGGCGGCAGCAGCAGCAGCTCGAGTGATGGATGGAAGGAGATTGGAAACACAGGAGGGAAAAAGGTAAAAAAGAAAGTACAGCCAATCGCGCCCCCACCCCTCCTCTCACTTACTTCTCTGGTTAACCCATTGGCCCTGTCCGGCATTACTGTGGGACACGCCAGTGACCTCTGCCTTCCATCAGAGGACACACGTAATCACAATCATGGCCTTCATTCATCCGGGACAGTACCTGCCGAGTGCCCAGTGCTATTCTGCCATCTCCAAGCCCACCTCGCAGCGGCTCACAACACTTAGAGCTCTGCATTAGACAGAATGAATACTCCGTTGCGACACCGTCACCTCCCACCTCGAGAAGCGTAAACACCTAAGCTCCGCACAAATTAGATTCAAGAATCCACTACTGTGCCACCATCTAGCGGTCACCTCGCGTGCTCAAGCCCAGGGTTGGTCTCCCATCCAAGCGCCAATTAACCAGGCTCAAAATCCGGCTTAGCTTCTTATCGAAATCGAGCACGAAAGCAGGGAAACCGGGGTGCAAAAATTGCCACGGGCTTTGCTTGTCCTTCCCCCGGCACCTCCGATTAGCGCGGTCGCACGCAGGCACGCACATTGAACCTCTTTGGCACCGTACGTCGCCAGGCGCGCCAATCGGAGGGCGGGCTACGTACGGTGCGAAATAAGTTCAAACACACACGCGCGGCGGGCCGAGCGAAGCGCGCGATCGGCGGTCGGCTCGCGCGCCTCTCAGCCGGCCCAGCGATCGCGGAGAGGGCCGCTGCCGCTCATCTCGCCGAGGAGCGACGGGAGGGGGGGGGGGGGCGCGCCGGGGGAGTGGCCGCGTGCTCGTGGGGACGTCGAGGTGAAGCCGAGATGGAAATTGCTGCAGATTTGTTTTGTTGTTCTCGTTCCCATTAACGCGGAATCCCCCCTACGGGCCCGAGCCAACGGGAGCACGCGGTGCCGATTTGTTGACAACGGAGGAGGCGGCGGCGGTGGATGCGTGCGTGTCCGTAAATCAGCGTCGCTCCGACTCCCTGTAGCCCGGCGCCTTTTTGTGGGTTTTTAAATCCGGCAACGCCCCGATGAGCCGTCATGAGACCGTGCCACGACAAGAGGGCTCGCGCACAGAGTCGGGCGAAGCGGCGCGCGTGTGTGGCGCGGCGCTTCGCGAGCACCGCGCTGCGAACCCGGCGATCCGAGTTCTATTCCTGGCCACGGACAACATCAGCGGGCGAGCGATGTCCGAAACTGGTCCCGAGCGTCGCCGCCACCGCCACCGCCGCCGCCGTGTCACGACCCCGCACTGACCAGCGTGGTGAAGCATGGTCAAACAACCATCACAGCTGACACGGCATGGGTGGGGTTACCTTCAACCAACGGTGGATTGACAAAAGGGCTGCCTATTATTATTATTATTTAATCCCAATCGTTACTTGGGTTAAGAGAGACGACGGAAGGAGGAGGCCAGCAACAGAGAGCATTAATGACGGGGCAGAAGGTTTACTATTTAGCCTGGCTCACTCGGCGCAATACCGAGGGCAAGATCGGACGCAACACGCATCCCAACGAACGTGTGCAACCCTGCCCGGCACGCACGCCCCAGCAACATCAGAGCGTTCCTTCTGTGTGCGCTTCTGCCCTCGTCCCGTCAGCAGCAATCACGTCGTCGTCCATTGTAAAATGTGGGTTTGCATTGTTGGCCGTCGGAAACGAACCTCCGGTTAGGCACGAAGGGCTCCCTACGGTTGGCCACGTGAGCTTACGTTAGACGCATACAAACGAACGCGCTCTCGCGGGGGAGAGCGGCTGCAAGCGACGGTGTTGGTTCAGGCGACGGGAAATGCGCGTGAAGATTGGAGGTGATGGGTGCGGGTAGGGGGGTGAGAGGGGGGAAGGGTGAGGGGCGGTGTTGGGGGGTTGGGTAGGGGGGGTGGGGCACGCACGAACATGGCTGGCAGATGTCTCCGTGAGAAGGCAGACAACCCACTCCTGGTTTCACAGCTTCAGTGGCGACCAAGAAATCCATCGGTACCATTCGGAATATAATAATAATGGAAAAAACTAAATACATAACACAGCCGTCAACTTCGCAGTGGCACGGCCAACGTGATGCGAGTCAGCGAGAGCGCAACGTTTAAACAAACGCAAACGCTGATGGACGAGCAGTTTATAAAGCCTTTTAACACCTGAGGCTGGCCTCGATGACAGCTCGAGTTTGGAATTATTCAATAAAAATTGGATGGGACCGGTGATCGAGCATCGCGGGTGGGAGCTTGGCGACGCTGGCGAGTACGCAGCAGATTCCCCCCTAACCGTTCCCAAGCTGCTCACGTTTTGAGCTCCACGGCGGTAAGCCAGCCAGACAACACTGCGGTTAGGCCACCCGGTTAGGCCACCCGGTTAGGCCACCCGGTTAGGCCACCAACTTAGGCAACCCGTGCTAGACCCACGTTCGTTCGCGAGATCCATTCCCCATCGGCGGAGGGTCGACCTCAGCCCGGCATCCCTACTGCACGGTTCCGTAAAAATTTGGTACCTATTTGTGGGAAAGGCTCTGACCTAACCGCCTAGAGGTGTACGGGACGTGGCGTGTCGGGGTGCGAGAAAAAAAAAACACTTTTCAGGGTTGCCGACAAGGCGGGAAGGACCCGGCTGAAGTTGGGCCCCGGAAGCAATGCGCATGTTGGGGCCGGGGCCCTCGGCTGTCCGCAGCTCGCGGGCGACGTCCCGAGGGTGAGCGAGCGGGGCTAGCTCGCCAAGCGAGAGAGGGGCGACTACACGAGTAAGCGAACGAGCGAGGGGGCAGAGCCGAGCGAGCGACAACGCTGCTCCCCGCGAGACTCGAGCCCTCTCCTGCACGATGAGACCGTCCCGGTGCAAAATCAGACCCCCCCCCTCCCCCCACTCACGAGACCTGCCCCCCCCCCCACCCCCTGACGCCCCTCGCCCATCTCCTCCGCAGCGGCAGAGGATTAACTCCGCAGCTGAGGCCGTCAAGGATTTCTACAGAAATAGGCGGCCCCCCTCTGCCTGAAGCAGGTTAATAAATAAATAACGTGTGTGGGGGGGGGGAGGTGATGGCGGGGGAGGAAACCAAACAACCCCTCGGCGAGGAGGAAAAGCCATAAAGGGTTCAAATGTCAGCGTCGGGAAGAAAACGGCCAATAAACTCCACACTGGCTGTGGGAGAGAAATGAAGCGGGAGAGAGACCCCGACGTGCATTCGGGGCGCACGCCGCTCATCCCGGGGCGACAAGACGTGCTCATTCACGTGCGCAGGCCCTCTCCGAAAAGGAGACGAAAGAAAACAATAAAATGCCGGACATATTACAACAACGACGACGACGAACAAGAAACAGACGCGGAACTGTGCGGCGGGATTGAATAGAGTGCCAGCGTTATTAAAACTCCCCGTTGCGTGCGTTTGTGTGTGTGTGTTTTTTTTATTATCCCTCAAAGCCACGCAAGAGTCTTCGGATGGCAAATTGGATTTTTTCAAAATATATATATAAAGTAATCTCCCTCTCCCCGCTCGCCGCGTCCCCCTTATAATCACCTAATGCTGCCAACGGTGGAGCGCCGCGGTTGAGAGCGGCGCCGCGGTGTGACCGGTGACCGAGCCGGCATGCCACCACGCGGAGCCGGCGACGCCATTCATTCTGGCACGACGATCATTCCCACCGAGACGTCACTCTTTGCCACCGCGTGCCACGTCACCGTACTCAGCCTCCAGCGGATTAAAACGAGCAAGACGAACGACGAAACCGAAGGCGTGAGGACGAATATAACGCGGGGAGAGCGGGGTGCTGGCATTGGTCCTGGTGCAAAGAATTAATTAATGGAGCCCCCCCCCCCATCCCAATTTCCCCCGCCCCCCTGTTAGGGGGCTTCGGTGCAGTTGCACCGCCTGCACACTCGTTAGCTACTCCGACGACTGTATTCTTGGGACGGGAGGCGACGGAGCAGATGGCTCTCGATGGTTGGGTTCGAATGTTGGAACAAACGTGACGATCTTGGCCGAGAGTTGGTGTTCATACACAAAGAGGGTATAAGGGTGCAGCCCTGTAAATATTGCTTCCTCATGACAGTGTTGTCAGAAGGAGCTCTGGAGTGGCCCCTTGAGCGAGTATTTTGGGCCTACTGCTCTTCCACATGGGCCAGACCATCAGGAGAGGATCGAGCACAAGAGCGGAACAAAACGTAAGGAATCGGGCGATCGCTGTAAAATCGCAACGGTGACAGAAATTCCGTTTTTCCAGACTGTTCGCTTTGTTGTCGTCACGAACATCATCATCACGATCATCGTCGCCATCATCACGATCACGATCGTCGTCGCCATCATCACGATCACGATCGCCGTCGCCATCATCGTGATCATGATCGTTGTCGCCATCATCGCGATCACGATCGTCGTCGCCATCATCGCGATCACGATCGTCATCATCGCGATCACGATCGTCATCATCGCGATCACGATCGTCATCATCGCGATCACGATCGCCGTCGCCATCATCACGATCACGATCGTCGTCGCCATCATCGCGATCACGATCGCCGTCGCCATCATCGCGATCACGAACGCCGTCAACGAGACCGCGATCATCGCCGCTGCTCCGCCTCACCTCGTCACACGCGGCGCAGCGCGGCTTGAGCCGCTCGGCGTGGTGCCGCCCGCAGTAGAGCTTCCCGTCCACGAAGAAGTAGATGAGGTCGACGAGGAGCTCCCGGCACGCGGCGCACACGAAGCAGGCGGGGTGCCAGCACGGGGTGTGCCCCGCGCGCGACGCGAACACCGCCATCTCGCCTCCGCCGATGCCACCGCCGCACTGCGGAAGAGAGGGTGGCGGGGTGGGGCGGGGGGGGGGATGGAGAACGGGCGCGGGGAGTGGAGGGGCACACGGAGGATTTGTTTGTTAGTACAGAGAACCGCTCTCGCTCGCTCGCTCGCTCCTCCCCCCGCGGTGACCGGTCAGGCACCAGCGTCGTCGCGCTCCTGTCGCCCGCCGCCGTGGTGTTCTCGCGGTTGCGCTTGCCGCGGTTCTCCGCCGCGTTTTCCGGGTTGTACCCGGGGCTGGGGGGTGGGCGGGGGGACAGGTGGTCAGTCGTAGGCAGAGGTAGACGAGAATGACGTCGAGCCTGGACTTGCAACAGGCAGGGCGGTCGGCAGCACGGGCTGTGGGGGGGGCAGCTCCATGGAGGCCGCGAGGTCCAACGGAGGAGAATGCGCGACCTCCCACCGAGCGGAGGTTGACGTGGCGGGGATCGACAGAGGGCCTTGGTTGCTGGAGCGGAGAGCGCGCACGGAGGGCAGTAGAGTGAGCTCAGAGGGGGAGAGGCAAAGGGTGCAGGGGAGTAGCGTGAGAGGAGGGGTGGGGGGCGAGTCCACGGAGGACGTAGATCTCTCTTCTCCGCCGCCGCCGCCGCCGCCCCCCCCGTCACGGCGCAGCGGAGTAGAACGTGGCAGCGCGTACGTTGCTGCCGAGTCAAACGGCGTTGGGAGGGACCCAGGTGGCGGAGGGGGAGACCGGTGGTGGTGAGTGGGGGGGGCAGAGGAAAACAACGCGGGGCCCCGGCAGGGCGCGTTTTGCGCCGCAAGCCAAAACACCGGCGGAAGTGGCGAGAGACGGGATTTTGTTTGCTCAGGGCTTGCGGGGGGGGGGGGCTTACGAAGGATGCCCTCGTGTTTTCATTAAATATCTGGTTACACGTGGAGCGTCCCTCGCCGCCCAGGCTAATTTTCTCTCTTCCATCGGGGGGCCAGCTGTGCGCTGAAAACCGTTAACGAAATAATGAAAAGTAAATATATATATAAAGGTGGGTCGGACATGGGCCGGTCCAGCGGCCTGGGTATGGGCTAAGATACTGATGTACTGATGGGGTTGGGGTTCTGCGGGGGTGATGGCCTCGCCCTGGTTTTTTTTAACAATAGCTGCTCGTGCACACAATAAAAAAGCCATCATGGTAAAAGTTCGTTTTTAACCTGATCCACCAACCCTTCTTCACGACTCTTCACAGCGCTCGATTACAGGCAGCCACACGCAGCAGCAGCAGCCGCGGTAATCACCGCTGGTCCAATCGAGCTCGGATATGAACAGCAGCCCCAAGTGCACAGGCTCAGAGTATCATAGCTTGCGCATGCAGGCAGGGCGCGCGCATAGCATCTCCCGTGCTTACATTTGCCTCCTTTCTTGTTTCATTATTTCCCTTAGATTATGTTTTTTTATTTTTAAGCCGCCACCGCCAGGCAAGGCAGGTGCGTGCCAGAAACATGACATCGCCGTCATCCCAAGGCTCAGGGCAAAACATTTTAATATCTAGCGGCCGCCTCATAAGCACACGACATGCCCGGCCGGTAACGACGACTCGGACGCTGGCGGCTATTTGTTTGCCCCGGAGTCTTTCATTAACTCCGCCGTGGCGATTGGGGGCAAATTGCGGCGCATGGCATCGCAGTCGCGTAGTAAAGTCCACGCGGCCGCAAGTCGGGACATGGGGCCCTCAGAGGGGGGGGTGGGGAGAGAATGGGGGGGGGGGGGGCGAGGGCAGGGGTGGGGTGAGGAGGCAACGAAGGCTTGGGGATGGACGTGACGTGTGAGCTTCTACTCCTCCAAGGGGGGGTGGGGGGGTCATGGGGCCGTTATCACTTTATATGTCACGCATTGTTGGCTCTCCTTGAAACGGATGGTGGCTCTGGGAGCACGCGCCGGGGCGGTGATGTCATCCGGCCGCCGCCGTCGCCCACAGCAGAATTGGCCCGTTAAGCGATGGCTTAAATCGCTCGTCCCGAATAGATGTCCTGGTGGCCGGCACGCTGGCCGGTTAGCCGCCGTAGCGAGGGGGTACGGCGGGTGTGGTGTGCCGCACCGGTGCGCGTTCAATGTTTGCCGGGTAACTCTCTCCCCGGGGCTGCTCGGAGCTCGTGGTGGAGGTTCCGCGTTTACCATGTGGGGGTCTGGTGTCACCCAAGGACGATTAATGTCAGCAGAAATAACATGCAATGGAGTGCTTCGGTAATCTGGTTTAAATCATTTTGTATATCTTTTTTTGTTATTCATGACGGGTGCCCATTCCAAGTCAATTTTGTTCACGTAATTTGCCGTTATCCTCCTTTTGGTAATTTTAATCCTGTCTAAAAGGTACGGGCCCTCTTAAGTTCTTAACGCTTGGCTGGTTATGTAGGACCCGGCTAATCCCTGGGCCAACTCTGGGCCAACTCAGCGGGGGATCTGGGTGGGGGGGGGTGACATGGGGGCGGGGGAGTGGTGGTGGTGGGGGGGAGTGGGATGGGAAACGTCACAAAGGCAATGGGGGGAAAGGTGACGCCGCAACTTCGGGGGAGGCAAAATAAGCTTCACTTTAACACTGGGGGCTGGGCTGTACTTTACCCCATTCACAGCATTGGTTCATTTAAAAAAAAAATAAGAATAGGTTTTACCCTTTCTGGCAATAAAGCAGGAGGTGTTACGATGTTCAAACGCCAAATAGAAACTTTTGCAAGGAATCAAGTACTGCATTAACCACACACAGCGCTTGTGGTGGACATGCAAACAAACATGGCTCTGATAATAATAATAGACTTGCATCGTCTTGGAAACAGATTGGCCTACACCAGAGACGGCAGCGTTCTTCATGGCCTCGTCTCACCACCGGTATCAGACCAGAGAACACCAAAAGGCGAACGGGACATAGGCAATGTCGCACGTGTCAGCGCATTTAAAGCTCGGGTAGCGAGCACTCTTTGATGCTGGCAACAACAACAACAAGTGTCCCGTAATAGACAATTTTTTTGGTGAGCCTTGGGATTCGTCACGTGCGACGATACGTTTCGGAGAGCGAACGCGGGACGACGGATCAGAATGTGACGCCGACAAACAGGGCAGCGCCGTCACTTCCCAAGTTCCTCCGCCCGCCGCTGCTGCCACGACACCCTTGGCTGGCCGATCGGGCCGATGGATGTCGTCGCCACCGGTGCCGTTGTAAAAACGGGGCACACGGTTTGTGTATGCCGCTCAACGCTTTAAAAGAGAGACGTTCAAATAAACTTGCGTTCAGAGTGTTTGGCTGCGATAAAAAAAAAATCTATTGCACGCGATAAGTCACTTCGTTGAATTTTCGTTTGCGATGGTCCAGGTCGCTTCTGAAAAAGAGCTACGTAGCTCGGCGCGGCCTTACCTGCTCAAATGAAAAGTAGTTTAATAGTTTAGATTCCTTCGTGGAATTACCCAAGGGCACCGTCTGCTGCCCTGAGTGGACGACCAAAAAAACCCCGAGAGAGATCGCTCGTCAACGACGCGGGCTCAACCCTTCGGCACGTCCTGGAGGACCCGGCAAAAAAACCCCAGTGCCAGCGAGCGAAGGAATATCATCATAATGTTGGAAGTATAAGACACCCTGGAATGTAATATGTGCCCCCAAACTTGTGCCCGGCGTCAATAAAGTTGTACAGATTTGGTCACACGCAGACACCTACCGGATTGAAAGATGCACCGCCAACTTTTGTACGACTGGATTCGAATGGAATGCCGCTGGACTAACATAATGAACACCTCATTTCGAGACCCAAACATCACAACCTCCTGACTTTGATATTCCTCCTCCTCAAACACATTGGTGTAATCATTAACCACATCATAACATCAGTAGGCCAATGCGCACATGAAAATGCAAAATTAAATACAGGCCACGGCAGTGCGATTGTGGCAATGAAAATCGCGCGGCCTGGACACGTTACCTGCTCACACGTGGCGCCCAGGGCTGTGATGGGGAAGGTCTTGACGGTTCCCCGGCCGAGCGCCTCGCGCTTGCGCTGAGCGCTGAACTGCTTCAGCTCCTTCTTCTCCTCCTCGCCCAGAGAGCTGCAGTACCGCACCTGCGCCGCCGTCGCCACCGCCGTTTAACGTCGACAACACCGAAAAGGAATGCTCCACCACGATCGGCAGCACTGCCATCGCAGCCGTCGCAGCCGTCAACAACAAGACCATCGATGGGCACCATCAACAATGCCACCCCACCACCATTACGTCCATCAGTGACACCATCAACAACACCAAAATCGATAACTACGACACCACCGACAATAAACTACCAATTACAACCTCACGACGACTAGCTTTGTACGATGCGACAGAAGTTCAACATCAACATCCAAAGCACAAACCACCAAAATTCACGCACCAAATACGGGCAGACGTGGCATCTCAGTCAGACCCTCTGCACAGACGGATTCAAGGATCCAGCTATGAACCGCCATTTGCTGTCACTCCACAACCCTGACGTTGATGTCACTTAAATACACGCCTGCCCTAATTTCTCCGCATTACAAACCAATTAAATAACGCACGTCCCCCATTATGGGGGAAAATCCTCAGGTGGCACTTAGAAAACTCAATTACACCGCGGGCGATTTGTATAAGGGGGCCACAGGGGCCGCTTAAAACCACACCCAGCCCAGCGGATATGAGCAAGAGGCATCCACCACCCACACACAAGGGCAAGCTGTCCCCGTGTGGCCTACACAGGCTGCAAGAGGCATCCACCACAAGCTGTCCCCGTGAGGCCTACACAGGCTGCAAGAGGCATCCACCACAAGCTGTCCCCGTGAGGCCTATACAGGCTGCAAGAGACATCCACCACAAGCTGTCCCCGTGTGGCCTACACAGGCTGCAAGAGGCATCCACCACAAGCTGTCCCCGTGAGGCCTACACAGGCTGCAAGAGGCATCCACCACAAGCTGTCCCCGTGAGGCCTATACAGGCTGCAAGAGGCATCCACCACAAGCTGTCCCCGTGTGGCCTACACAGGCTGCAAGAGACATCCACCACAAGCTGTCCCCGTGTGGCCTACACAGGCTGCAAGAGGCATCCACCACAAGCTGTCCCCGTGAGGCCTACACAGGCTGCAAGAGGCATCCACCACAAGCTGTCCCCGTGAGGCCTACACAGGCTGCAAGAGGATTCAAGGATCCAGCTATGAACCGACATCCACCACAAGCTGTCCCCGTGTGGCCTACACAGGCTGCAAGAGGCATCCACCACAAGCTGTCCCCGTGAGGCCTACACAGGCTGCAAGAGGCATCCACCACAAGCTGTCCCCGTGTGGCCTACACAGGCTGCAAGAGGCATCCACCACAAGCTGTCCCTGTGAGGCCTACACAGGCTGCAAGAGGCATCCACCACAAGCTGTCCCTGTGAGGCCTACACAGGCTGCTGGGGCAAAGTGCCATTCACCTGCACCTATTATGTGGAGGTGGTGTGGCAAAGCATCACGCCCGGGTCACCTTTGTCTCCCCAGCGGAGATGTTTACACATCGGAAGGTCGGCTACGATTACGTACGATTGGCACGGTTGGCCACACTCAGTGCGAACGAAGTTCAACATATATGCCACCGCTGTTGGTCAAAGCGCAGTAACCACTGGATCCCCCGCATCTACCACACGTGTGCACGCGCACACACCACACATACATACGCATGGACGCACACACATATACACACCAAAGACAAAGAACCCCTGTATAACCTTAACAGACTGTAGGGGCAAGTGCTGTTAGCGAGTAGCACCTATGAAGGCCGGAACGGTACACGAGGGGGTGGGTGGCCAGCACCACGCCCGACCGCCTTTGTCTCCCCAGTGGCGATGTTTACACACCACACCAGGTACTCATTTGAGGCCGAGTTGACGTAGGGGAGGCTCAGGACCAGTTCAGATAATCGTCACTGGTGTTGGCCATGAGCTGGAATCGAACCCAAGTCGCCGGGTTCATAGCGCAGCGCGCTAACCGCTACACTACAGCTCCCCATATACACACCACCCACACACACGCAAACATACGCATGCACACACACCACCAACGCAGGCACGTGGTGTCATGCGGCCTGGCAATCGGCCGGATTGCAGATCTCCCACCCGCATGAAGTGACACACCCTTCGTGCGAGGCATCTGGCTTAGTCATCATCATCAGCAGCTCAGAAATGTACTTTCGCTGAAGAAAAATCATTTGGCTAAGACTGCAGGAATGGCATTCCACGTTCAAATTGGGGGTTCCAGACTGACTGTGCTAGTTCGTTCCATCGCTGAGGATGCTTAGGGTGGTTGGTGGTGGCAGTGGGGGATAGGAGCGGTGATGGTGGTTGTGGTGTGGTGTGGTGGTTGTGGATAGTGGTGGTTGGTGTGGTCGATTCTGTTGGGTCGGGCTGATCGTGAACTGCACTGGGCCACTGGCGCATCAGCCCATCTTGTGAATCGGGGACCTTTATCGAAGGCATTTAGAAATGTAGTGGATGTTCTGGTCTTGAAGGCAAGTTGCAATGTAATCGGTACAACTCAGAATCAATGCACGCATATTTGACATCCCTTATTTATAACCCGGTAAGTGCCCGGTGAGATCAGAAGTCTTTCTTATTCTAAGGGAAACGTGGATAAAACAATGACCCATTACAAATGTGCACGAACATCCACACTCGGCCGCGACCAGTGAAGGAACAGCGACCCAGTAAGTTTTAAATCCGCTGTTCACAGGTGGCAATCGTAACCTGCACCAGGGTCCCATGCCAACCGTGCTACACCGGGAAAGCCTCACGGAGCCCCATGCCTCTTTTTCAGGAGGCTCCTGCCAAGATTTCGCAGTAAGGGGGGCGATAATAATCACTACGTACAATCACATTTGTGTGACGTGCGGCGTCACGTTTAAAATTTGCCAAACATGTGGAACCCCCGTCGCAGGCACGCGGCCGCCAGCCCCCTAGCCAACGGCATCGCGGGACCTTTTGAAACCTCCGCTCGCGAAGCGGGCGGGCCGCGTACGATTATGACTACGGTCGATACGCACGCCGCAGCATTGATCAGGGCGGCCGCTCGAATTCGAACCGAGCCGCAGACCTCTGCAACGCCGCCGGGCCACGTCTCCGGCATGGCACGAACACGCGAGCGTGCGTGCGGTGCCGCGGGCGGCATCGCGCTCCCCCCCGCCCCGACTCCCGACTCCCGGGGGGGTCCTCACCTCGTTGTCGTGGGGCGGCAGCTGGTACAGCAGTTGCTTGATGCGGTACTTCTCTCCGAGGCTGTTCACGTACGGCACGCGATCCTCCGGCAGGCAGCAGAAATACCGGTGGACCTGCGACGGTCATCGTCGTTGCGGAAACAGGGAAGGGTTGTTTAGTTTTAATATTTATATTTTTTTCTGTTAGACGCAGCCAAACGAACAAGTTGGCGTGGGAGCAGATTCCAGGGGTGGATTCTAGTAGCCGTGTATATCCGTACAAGTTAGTTCGCTCAGGGCTTTGCGACAAAGCACAGCGTTATTCCAATACATTTATATGTATACAAAGGGCTTAATATCTCACTGAATATTCTCCGGGTCTCTGGTAGACTGGAGTAGGAACGTGGCTAGTGGTCACAGCTATAGGTGACAAGCGTGGCGGACGTGGTGTGCCGCGCGTGGAAATTTTTTGCCGAGTCGGGACACCTGGCTGAAATGAAGCTTTGTATATGACCCGCGTGGTGAAGTATGGTCACCCCCCCCTCCCCATTACCGCCACGGAGTTGGGAAGCCTTCATCCATTGGTGGAACGAGATGGGCGGAGCCTATTTATTTTTTTCTTCTATATAAACTATATATTGAAATCACCAGAGGGACCTTAAAGGTTGTTTCTCAGAGGGGAGAAACATAATAGGCCGAAGTTCAACGCATACCATTAAAGCATTGTTAATTTTAAAGAGCTGGCTAAGTGTACATATTGGGGCGGCTTAAAGAAAAAAAATTTCCCCCCCCCCCCCCCCCAAAGATTCCAACTAATGCACAGCGCGTGCCGAATATAAATTACCTGCAACGTCTACACAGGGCGCACGCTCATAGCTCAAGTCAATAACACATTTACATCGTCTCCGGTTATTTTCGTGGCTATAAGTCACATGGCTTGTAAGAGCAGCAGCAGCAGCAGCAGCCATCCGGCCAGCCGGCGGAAGACGGTGGCGATATATTTTTTTCCCCAAACGCAAGCGTGCAACGTTTACAATGCGCACCTGCGCACTGCTTACCGCTATCGACAGGCAGACGATAACAACGTTCATCAGCAAACAGAGACAAAGATCCCCACGTACAGCCTGTAACAGACTGTTTGGGGCAAGTGCTGTTAGCGAGCACCTATGAAGGCCGGCACGGCACACGAGGGGGTGGGTTGCCAGCATCGCGCAGGGCCGTCTTTGTCTCCCCGGTGGCGATGTTTACAGACCGCACCACGTACTCATTTTAGCTTGAGTCGACCTAGAGGAGGCCCAGGACCGGTTTAGATAATCATCACTGGTGTTGGCTGTGAGCCGGGTTTGTGGCACAGTTCGCTAACCACTATGCCACTATACAGACTGTCGGAGCGAGTGTTGTTAGCGATGACCTATTAAGGGTAGGCACGGCGCATGAGGGGGGCACGAGGGGGGGGGGGGGGTGTGGCCAGAACCACATCTCCCCGGTGCTGATGTTGTACACACTGAAACATAGGTGGTCATTTAAGGCCGAGTCGACCTATTGGAGGCCCCGGACCGGTGCTGATAATTGTTATTTGTCGTTTGTCCGTGAGCGGGAATCGAACTGGGATCGCCCGGCTCGTAGCGCATCGTGCTAACCGCTGCACCACCGCTCCTCCCACCTCGGTGCTCACGCACGCACGCACGCACGCTCGCTCGCACGCACGGAGTCACGTCCGCGAGTCACATCAACAGCGCACAGCAGCACGAACCCATACACGCCCCACATTTGAACACAGGAACGCATTAAGAAACACACAGAGGGGAGCCGCTGTTTAAATTTGTTGTTTGTGTTGACGCAACGCCAGCAGGCTCCCGAATGCCAAGGGCAACATCCCTACCGCCCGCGAGAGCACCGCAGTGCGATCCGTTCAAGGTGGTGTTTGCTTTAAAGCGCGAGACGCCTTTTCTGAACCGACGGAGCGGACGAGGAGGTTTTTAAAACACGCGCGGGCGCGCGAGCGTGGGCGGGCGGGCGGGCGACACTCGCGAGGGCGCTCGGTGTGACGCTTGGGAGGCCGGTCCGATGCGCGGCGAACGCACACGGATGGCACGTAGCCTCGGTAGCGATCCTTCGACGGGGCAGTCGCGACCCAAAGCTGCGGTCCGATTCGAGGATGGATGCATTATTTTGTCTCGCGTTTGCCGTCTCGCTCGTGCCGTCTCTCACCGTCGTTATTTCTGGTCTCGTTTCTCTCGGTCAGCAATATACGTGCGACATTAGCATATTTTTTTGCATGACATTTGCATGAAGTGTAAACGCATTTTGGGGCACCAGTCGCCGCTGAACTTTGTGACATTAGCCGCAGACGCCACTGCGCGTATTATTACGCCTCGAGTGATGTGCGGTGGTGTCTGCCCTGCGCTTATGAAAACATCGATCCCTTGTCGCGTGATTTCACGAGTGTCCTGCAATCTACAATGCCAACGACTCGATGCATCATTGCACCCTTGGTCACTCCTTGTATGTCTTACAAATCCGTAATAAAATCTCCACTGGAAGCAGAAGCCGTTTGATTGGATCTCAGCGGTAGCTCTGGGGTGTCCGCTTCTGTGAGCCGTGCTTCAGGCGAAGGGTTGCAATGCTCTGTTAGAGATCCGAACGAATTCTTCGTCCCGTGGCACGATGCCGATGGACGGAAATGATTAAAAATAAAATTAGACAAAAATCTCCACTGGAAACATTAGTCACAATTTCAGCTTTTAAAAATTATTTCGCAATAAGTTTGCGAGGTTTCTGTTTCACGTCTGTATCTGCTCTCGTAACCCACCCAGGTCTCCCCTGAAAGAGAGAATCTGTGCGCTCTCAACGGGCTCTTACCTGGTTTTTAAATAGCGGCTGTTGGAGTGAGAGACATTCGCAATCCTGTTCACCAGCAACAGCGACGAAGGGCATGAGTTTAATGTGCGCCAGACTTATGTAAGGAGGCTTGCTTAGCAGAGACCCGCCGTGGATTTATTTCCCGACTTAGCCACGTCTGCTCTCCCCCCTCCCGCCACCGCCACCAAGTGCCCACCTTCAAAAATTGTGTGTTTTGTTAAACTCTCCAGCCTTGTGTTTTCACAGCCCTGTGCGCGCGTTCCCCCGCCCCCCCCCCCCCCCCCCACGTATTGGCGAGCACCGTTTGATGTGCTAGAACCGCTGCCGGCTTGTGAGGGCTTTCCTCCGCTTGCAGAGAGAGACGTGGAAACCCGTCGGAGCAGGGTGTTCGGCGATAACGCGTAAAGGCGCGGCCCCTTCCACCGCTGGCGGAAGGGGCCGCCACTTCGAGGGAGCTCTGGAGAGCCCCTTGCATTGGGGACTTTTGGCCTTCTCTTTCACGGCGGCCAGACGTCTTGGAAGGAGTGGGAGTAACCCACAACGTTGCACCCACCGAGCGCGAAGCCGCCCATCGGCAAACCGTGGGTAAATAATCGAGGCTTTTTTTTAACTTTATTTTAACGTCACTTTTTTTTTCCTTTTCCCCCCCACGGGAAAATTCCAAGCGCCGTGCACTTCTCTTCGTTACGTGGCGAAGGTGACCAACGAAATCCCCGTATCAAAATGTGAAAATGCATCCAGTTAAAATAATCTCGTTTTGTTTTTACGTTTCTCTCTCTCGTCATTAATTCTCCTGCCTCTTTCTCTCTCTCTCCTCAGCTTCTCTTTCCTGCCTTCTTTAGATTCATTTTCTCACACCAGACATGGCGATCCCTCGTATCCTGGTTCCGTGTTTCTCTGTTTGCATTGCTGAAAATATTACTACAAATAAAAAAATCTAAAATAATTATTCCATTTGCGTAAAAGCTCGGCCGGTGTCCACCGCCAGATTTTTCTAAACAAGCATTTCTGTGAAATACTTTCATGCCACATAAATTATGGCGTTTAGGTATAAGATGAAAATGAAATGTTTATTTCACAAGAGCAGCAAAGCTTTATCATTACTATGTTTTAATAATGGAAACCCCCTCCCCCCCAACAAGATTGACTGCATTCGAATGAAATAGCTGGAAAACGATACGGTTATAAACAACGCAAATTCGCAGTGCATCTTCACAAGAATATCAAACTTGCTGTGCTAAGTTACAGAAATTAACCCCATTAATTGGTTACAGGGGGGCTTGATAAGCGGGTAAACGCTTGCGTGAAAGTTTTTTGCCCGCTTATGAAACAACCACAAACACCGCGTAAGTACTTAAAAACACGCGCACATACAAGTTATGTGACTTCTCTGTAAAGAGAGGCAACGCATTACATTACACAACAGGGGGCGGAGTGGTGGTGCATCGGTGACGAGCGATGCCTGAACAGGTCCTGCGGTGAAATATGGTCAAACAACCCGCTGACGACGATCGACAGACAAATGGCTATAATTTACGATTCATTATGAATGGGATTTTAAGTAAAATAAATTACAAATAAAAACTTTTGGGACTGCACTGGCGATGGCGTGCAGGCAAAACAAAAAAAAGGACTAAAATCCACGTGCACGCATGGATCCCGTCGCGCTTTCCAATCCAATGTGCGTCTGTCCTCGACATTATTTAGTGAGCAATACACGGGGGTCTGATGGGGTAGCAGTCCAGGCAAATAGCATTGGCATGGTTGCATAACGTCCTATTCGTTTGTCTCTTTCACGTTTTCTGGCGACCGTCCGATCAATTTTTTTGCCAATTTTACGAACACAACTTTATATTAAAATTTCTGTTCATATTGGATCATGGTGATGAGAGTTACGTTACAAGCGGACAGACAGAACCATGGCATGAACGCTTCCGACCTTGGTTGGAAAGCGTTAAAGAATCGCTCGCCAAGCCTCTACTGTAAAATAAAAAAAATGAATCGGTGAACGGTCGCATTCCTTGCCGCAACTTCACCCGATGCCCACCGTTCCAACCGGTGACGAACGGCTGCGGTCGTGGCCGGCATAGTTCGGCATGTTCGCCGGGCCAGCCGGACGGCCGTAGACTGCGGCGCAATGACGATAACCAACAATATTAATAATAAATATAAAAAAGGAAACGGCGGGCTTGGGGTCTGCGTCGCTCGCGGGCGTACTGACCACATTAGGGCCGGCGCGCGTTGTCATAACACAACGGCGAGGCTTGTCGAAC